GAAGGAAGGAAGGAAGGAAGGAAGGAAGGAAGGAAGGAAGGAAGGAAGGAAGGAAGGAAATAAAGGCTTTCCAGTGTCAAAGTCTAAGGCTGCCCAGGAAATCCCACATTCAGGGTTGACAGGGTGATGTTTTCCCTGTGCCCCTGAGATGACTTTTCTAGATTGAGCTTCTCTTTGTCCCAGCTACTGGGGGTAAGGCTGCCCTAGCATGACTGATCACCGTTTGTCTCCTCAAACAGGGACCCCACCGGCAGGCAAGGCCTGGGAGTTACCCAGACCAGGCAGCTAGGCTGCAGCCTCCTCTGCCGGGTCTCCAGGTGGTCTTGATGCTCTGTTTTGGGGTTGAGCTGAGGAGTGGCAAGAACGGTCCACCTCCTGGGGGTGAGACACACAGTGGAACACTCGGGATGGCAAAGGCAGCAGGCCTATGAGCCCATCACCAGGGTCAAAAGCCAGACCTGAAAGTATCCAGCTGTCCCCTTGCCAGACAGACGCAACAAGGCTTTCAGGATTACAAAAATATCTGAACCAAAAATAGCCATTTATTGTGGGATTTACAAAATATTCAACTAAAAACACTTGACAACAAGAATTCCAAATGTAGAAGGATTAAACAAATTGTAGGATATAATACTCTAAAATTCTTAAACTGTGAAGTGATATCTGATAAAATAAAAATAGACTATAATTAGTTAAGGCCACACAGTATAAACCCCAAACAATCATAAAATAACAAAGAATTACAGAAGGGAAAGTGAACGGAGAACAGATGTGATACATAAAATAAGTAATAAGATGGTACATTTAAGCACAGTCTGTAAAGTAAATTTAACTGGTCTAAACACATCAAAAGTCCAAAATCATTAGATTAGATAAATTTTACAAAGCTCAATCCAGATATATTCTGCCTAAAGAAAATTCATATTAAATATAATAAGGCAGTCCTACTGAGGGAATTAAGATGATGGACACATGCAGGTTAGACTAAAATGAATCCGAAGAAAGGGAGAACGGCCGCATAAAGATGGAAAGGGGCATTTCAGAGCAGAGTGTGACCACTGGTCACTGGCATCATTTCATAGCAATAACACTTCCAGCTCGGCCAGAGATCACAAACATCCCCAGGTGTCTAGGTGCCAAATCAAAGAGCCAAAGTGATAAGAGTTAGGGAAGAATAGATTCACAACTGAGGTCAAAGATTTCAATACTCAGATCTAAATAACAGAACTTGTGCCCAGTGTGCCCAGTTCACGAGACCCCAGAGACCACCAAGGAGCTGACCGATGGAGACACACAAGGGTTCTTTTATTGTTGCAAGCTTAAGCTTGGGCCCACTCTGTCACCGACTCAGCGGATGTCAGATGTGAGACCCCTTGATTTGGGAGACAGGTTTTTATAGGTTTATTTCAGCAAGTTCAGCAAGTAGGGGACTAGGGGGTCTCCAGCCTGTCAAGCATCTGATTGGTTGCAGCCCAGTGCCAAACCATAAGCTGCTGGCTTCAGGAAATCTGAAAAGACATTTGGACATTTAGTGCTTTCCTGTCCTTGGTTAATTGACATTGGCGGGGCGGGGGGGGGGGGGTGTTCTCTATCCTGTCCAAGTATTGTGGTTTTTCTCGGAACAGGGCCCAGGGCTCAGTCAGTCCTATGGAGGTTTTATCCAAGATGGAGTCACTCAGGTCTCTCAGGAGAGAGAAAACCAGTAATGAAAAGAGGAAGTCTGAGCAACACAAATATGAGCATGACCCAATGGAACTCGAGAGAGCACCCAGCAAAAGTACACTACGCAGACAGAAATGCTCAGAAAGAGAGGCTCCAACGCTTGAACATGAGTTACCCTTTCTCTACCACCCATGTGCCTAAAGATAATTCAATCAAGAGTGTAGAAAATATTTTGAACTGAGAGAAAACAACATATCAAGTTCCCCATGTGTGCAGGTAGACACAGCCGGGCCAGTATGTTAGAATAAAGAACGTCTCCCACTAATGCCATGCACGTGCTCAGAAAAGGCCAGGCTTGGTCCATGCTTGTCAGGCTTGCATCGGCAGGCAGAAACAGGAGCATCACCAGTTCCAGCCAGCCTGGGCAACAGATTGAGACATTCACTCTCAAAAAATAAAGCAAATGAAACTGAGAGAAGATCTGTGTGGAAATCAGTGAGAACTGAAATAGACAAAAATCAGGCTCACTGAGAAATTTGAGAAAACTGTTAGACTCCAGCTACATTAACCAGGAAAGAAGACAGAAGACAGCTCATCAGTATGGGGAGTGGTTACAGATTCTATACACATGAAGTTTAAAATAAGAAAATAATCCTCCAATGCCAATAAATCAACAATTTACATGAAGATAGATTCAGAAAACAGCAATGCTGTTGAGGTTCACATAGAAAGAAAGAAATAATCTATTGGAGAAACTAAATCAGTTCTTTTAAACCTTCCTACAAAGAAATTCCTGGGCCCAGACATTGTGACTGGTAAATTCAACCAAGCATGTGGAGGAAGTGAGACCAACTTTACATAATACTAGTAGACCATCCAAGGGCAGGCAGCACTCCATCATATGAGGCCACTCTTCTTATAGAAAAAAATATATTAGACTAAAAAAACTTACAAGCTCACACTCCTCAAGAAAATATAACCAAAAGAGCTAAACAAAACGTAAGCAATATATGAAAGGGGTAGTGATAAATAGGGCTTAACCCAGGAGTGGACGTTTGCTCTATCATGGGTAAAGTAAGTTCACCTCAGTAATAAAATTAGAAAAGAAATATGATTATCTCAACAGATGTGGGGACATCTGTGAAACACCCAACACCCACTCTGAAATCTCCCTCTTCCCAAAACAGGCACAGAATTTCCTCAGCCTGAGAAAGAAGGAGCCTCAAACCACACAGCAGACACAACTCTTAGCAGACACTGAACTCTTCCCACTAGGGTCAAGAAAGGGCCACGACATCGCCTTTGAATACTGTACACAGACTGCTAGCTGGTGAATTAAAGTTAGAAAGAAGGGGAGGTGAACAGATGCCTATAGTGAAAATGAAAAATTAAAATTTTAAAACTTTTCAATTAATTGTGAAGATAGTTATATAGAAAATCCCATGGAATTCACAGAAATATTTATATGTAAATAAGAGAGTGTAAGAAGGTTGCCAAGTGTGAGAGACATGAAAACTCAGAATCTGTATACTAGCAATACAAATTAGAAGTTGAAATTGAACAAACAATGGCATTTATAGTAATACAACCAGCGTGATGTACCATACATAGGGATAAACTCATCAATATGTAGGTCAGACCAGCGCACTTAAAATTGTACAATATTTTGAAAGAAATCAAGAGAACTTCGTAAGTAGAAAGCTGTGCATTTTTTTCAAGGTTCAGAAGATTCAACATGAGCAGGGTCCTAGTTCTTCCCAAATTACTTAGCTGTCAGTGCGATTCAGCCAGAACTGCCCCCTACTAGGCTTCCTGTTTGAAGAAGCTGCAAACTGGATCCTAAGTGTCTAGATTGTTAAAAGTACTTACACAGCCAGGAGAGTCACAACACTGTTTCCCAGCTTGCCGTGCAACAGTCGTGGGGTTGCTGGTGCTGACACGGAGACCTGTGAGCCTTGTGGAAAGTGAGGTGCAGTCCAGGAGATAACTCACAGCTGTGGTCATTGATTCTCAGCAAAGATGGAGACAGAAGGCACTCTTTCAATAACTATTAATGGAACAATTACATCTCTTCAAATAATTATCACTCTCATTTTAAACTACAGGCAACTGAACTCAAAATAGATTGTAGATATTGTAGAAGAGTGTAAACTTCTATTAATAAACGGGAAAACACGAACGCGGTCTGGGCAAAGCTATTTTAAATTGACCCTAGATGAAGAACACACAGCATTTCTTTCTTTTTAAAAACAAGTTGTTCTTTTGGGGGAGGGCTGGAGAGATGGCTCAGTGGTCAAGAACACTGACTGTTCTTGCAGAAGACCTGGGATTGAGTCCCAGCACCCACATGGCAGCTAACAACTGTCTATAACTCCAGTGCCAGGGGATCTGACAGCCTCTTCTCTCCTCTATGGGCACTGCACAACATAGGTACACTTACCTACATGTAGGCATAATACTCATACACATAAAATAAAAAAAATAAATATTTTTAAGAAACAAGTTTTTTAAAAAAATTTTTTGTAAAAATGTTTATTTCTGTGTATGCGTATGTGTCTGGATGTGGGTGCCTGTGGAGGCCAGAAGAGGTGATTGGAGTCCCTGGAATTATAGTTACAGGCAGTTAGGAGCCATATGTCATGAGGACCAAACTTGCGGTCCTCTACAAGAGCAGAAAGCGTGCTTAATTGCTGAGCATCTACCCAGCCCTGGTTGCTGCTTCTTAATATTTTCTCTATGATTGCAGTTGGCAGTCTTTATCTTTGAGAAAATCTGCTGCAAACTAAAAGATATATGTAATAAATTTTATACTTTAAAATTGTTTTTGGAAAAGTTAGTGTTAGAACATAACTAATCCTCTGCTTCCCTGGGCTACACAACTCAGCAGCCTCTCTCTCGGGAGCCCTCTGGGTCAGGTCCTACCCTCACCTCCCTCTGCTTCCCTGGGCTGCACAACCCACCAGCCTCTTTCCTGGACACCTGGGCTGACCCCTCAGCAGGAAGCACCACTGCTTCCTGATCCCTTGCATCCAGAGGAACCCAGTTCCTTCTCGTGGTCCCCAGGAGCCCTCTGGGGCTGGTCCTGCCCTCACCTCCCTCTGCCTCTCTGGGCTGCACAACCCGCCAGCCTCTTTCCAGGACACCAGGGCTGACCTCTCAGCTTCCTGATCCTTTGCATCCAGACCAACCCAGTTCCTCCCTGCAGTCCCCAGGAGCCCTTGGGGCATATTCCTGCCCACATCTCCCTTTGCATCTCTGGGTGGTATAGCCACCAGCTGCCCCGACCAGTATCTTTCCTAGGCCCTGCTCCCAGGACAGACCAACCACCAAATTCCTGAGGACAGCATCTTTCCTGGAGGGATCCAGACCTTAGGAGAAAGTCTGAGAGCATCTGATCCTCATCTGACTTGGGCCTCTGTGGGAACTCCTGAGCAGCAAGAAA